CAACACTTTGGGAAGCTGAAGCAGGAGGATTGCTGAGAGTCCGCTGTCAGCCTGTGCAGCCATTCAGCGAGCCTCGTCTCAAAACAGGGACGCAAATGAAACAGTACAGAGGCTCACGACCAGAAAACCAGAAAAGCATTGCCGCAGAGACCTGCACAGCGTTTGGGAGGAAGGAGAGCACATTTTCCTTAGGGGCAAATCTGAGGAGTCCCTAAGCAAGAGTGAAGACTTGACGGACAGTGCTGGGACACAGTGGGTAAGGCGGAAGGGCACCTTTACAGAGGGGCCTTAGGGCAAAGGTGTGAAGTGTGGGAGGTGCTGTTCCAGCCCATTCTGGCAACGGAAGTCAGGATGCCTGATGAGAACAGGCAATATGGAGCCCAAGGACATTAGACACCCAGCTCCGCCCCAAGCAGCTTTAGGTTCCAAGCATTTTATCCTAAACTGCAATCTAAACTTTGTTTTCGGTTCTTAAGGATTGGGGAGAAAGAGGCCAACTTGGGCTAGAAGGTGCTCTTTAGGTGACGGAGTTCAGCTGCCTGGAGGTCAGGAGTATAGAAAATTGGAGCGTGAGAAAGCCTGGCTTTCCGGAGCCTTCCAGTCATAGGTCTGCTGTGCTGCTGTCACGGCTGGAAGCTCTGCGCATGGAGACACAGAATACTGTAGAGGAGCTGGCTGGTCAGCTTGCCTCACAGCCAGACTGGACATCCAGAGGAGAGTCCGCTGACCCCTGAGGATATAACCATGGTCACTGTGAGCAGGAGAAGGTGCTGGAAGCAGAAGGCTGTTACCTTGTTATATGTTGAATTGTGGCCCTTGTAATGCAACTTCCTATGTAGTCTTTGTGGAAGTAATTAAGATGACCTTCTGGAGCGGTGTGCCCTGCATCCCGAGTGACTGAGGTCCTTAGGAGAAGGAACATGGAGAAACATAGGGCTCTCCTGGAGACCTGAATCAGGTTTTGCTGTTGTGAGCCCACCAGTCTATGATACTCTGTTTCTTTCTTTTGGTTCGTTTTCGGACAGGGTCTCACTATTTACCCTAGGCAGGCCTGGGTATGTAGACCAGACTGACCTTGAACTCAGAGATACACATGCCTCTGCCTCCTGTGTGCTGGGATGAAAGGCGTGCTCCATCACCGTCTGCCCTGGCTTATGAGACTTTGTTATGATCCGTCACTCCCCTCCCCCTCCAATAGATTCATCCCTGGATCCCCAGAGCCAGGCACACACAGCACCTTAGTAGTGAGTGGGTGAGAGAATGACAGCCTCAAGAGGAATGATGGGAGGAAAGCAACACCTTGAGCAGTTTGAGGTGTGGGGGTGTGGGGGTGTGGCAGAGAGGTCAAAGGTGGGGCCAGTCTCTGCTTGCTGGCTCTGCTGGCCTCATCGCCCAGAGATGAGAGCTCAACAGAGCAATTCCCGGAGTTGGCCAGGGAAGCTGGCTTCTCGCCTGTGGGTTCTCTCTCCCTCCTCCATTACCACCTGCTATGATGCTGCCTCTCCACCTGTGTAATTGCTTTGGTTCAATTCACCCTTTGGGGCTGGGCGTCCCCGTCATCATTCATTACCTTCAGTGGCCGCCAAGTCACTGAAGGGTGGGAGAAATGAGGATAGGAGTTGTCTTAGTCACTGTTCTAGTGCTGTGAACAGACGCTGTGGCCATAGCAACTCTTCCAACAGAAAGCATTTAGTTGGGGCTGGCTCGCAGTTTCAGGGATTTCCGCATGGCAGGAGACATGGTAGCACGCAGACAGACGTCAGCTGGAGAAGCAGCTGAGAGTTCTACATCCAGATCCACAGGCAGCAGAGAGGCAGACCCTGGGCCTGGTTCAGACTTCTGAGATTTCAAAGCCCACCTCCAGCGGCATACCTCCTCCAGCGAGGCCACTCCGCGAGGGGTCTTCAGCACAAGGGCATCTTGGCAGGTGGAAGCCAAGGAATAGCACAGTCACACAACACAAACTTCACACAAGGGATTTCTCAGGGAGAAGAAAATGGCGGCTCCGTCTGAGTAGGAAGAGGGACAGCGGAGGGCTGGAGAGAGGGGAATGTTTTTATAGGGTTTCTGGAGCATCCAGGGTGGGAATGTATTGTACAACAGGAAACCTTGTATGGCCATGAATGCTGAGCTGTGGGGCAGGGATTTCCAATTCTCCGAGTTTGGGGTCAAGCCAGGGCAGGGTGTTCTTCCCTTAACCCAGGTTCTTGGCGTCAGATTAAGATCAGGGTGTTCTTTTCTGGCCCTGCCCACACCTCCCAATCCTTCTAGGTTGTTCCATTCCTTGATGACTAAGCCTGCTGGGGACATTCTCCTTCAACCTCCGCAGAAGGGGTTTGATGTCCCCTGACCTTATTTCTGTAGCATTGGTGGTAAAATGCTGAGACGGGGTGGCATTAAGAAACAGCAGCATGTGCCAGAGGCTGTGGAGGGGTGACCCTGTTTAAACCCTGTCGTGCAGAGCTGAGCCATGTCTAGCAGTGGCAGAGCTTTGCTGACAGCACCCAGCCCAGAACCAGGACGACCCTTCACGTGAACCAGCATCGTGCAGATGCAGGGAAATGAGACAATGGCCGAGAAGCAGTGACCCATCGGGAGGGGTTTTCCGGGTGCAGCGAACGTCAGGATCAACCCGTGACTATGCCTCTGCTTTTGTGGGATACTTAGGAATGAGAGTTCCAAGTGTCAGTGACAGAAGACACAATGTCATGAGAGCCCTGCTGGCTTCCATTGTGATGAATGCTAAATGATGAAGAGCTCAAATTCTACTGTGATCAGGAGCAAGTGAAGCTGGCAGGGGCCTGCAGAGAAATGGGGCTGTGGGAAACCATTGGCAAAAGTAGGCAGAGGTGATGCAGCTAGCATGGACAAGGGATCCCTGAGGCTTCCTGCTGCTCAGAAACTGCGCAGCTGGCTGTGACTGACTCGCAGTTTGCTCCAGTCTCAGAAAGCAGGTGGCAGGGGTAGCTGGGACCACCTGAGACAGCGAGGAGGGTGCTAGAGGGAAAGGGGAGAGGATGGTATCAGACACTTGGGGCCTTCGGTCCTGCCTCCCAGGGTTGCTACTGCTATCCCAAGCTTCCAGGGCTTTTCTGATGTGGACCTAGCTACAATTAAAATTCATATAGCTTCAATATAAAGACTATTCAAATTTTTTGTTTATTGATCTTACCTTCAGTATACTAAAGAGAATATATATCATCAACCTCAACTTATTTTTTGGTTTGTTTGTTTTGAAACAAGCGTAGTTAATCCCAGCACTCAGAATGCAAAGGCAGACAGATTGCTTTGAGTTTGAAGCCAGCCTGGTCTACAAAGTGAGTCCAGGACAGCCAGGGCTACAGAGAGAAACCCTGTCTCGAAAACGAACAAACGAACGAAAGAAACAGAGAGAGAGAGAGAGAGAGAGAAGAAACCGGTTTCTCACTGTGTATTCCTGGCTGGCCTGGAACTCAGAGATCTGCCTTCCTCCCAGGTCCTCAGATTAAAGCTGTGAGCCACACCGGCCCATCAGTCTCAGCTTTGACAAGGAAGGTCTTCAGCCACTTCTGCCTTTCTGACATCACTTTTAGCTGCTGTTAACTTTTGAAGACTTTTACAGTCAGTGCTGCTCTTCAGAATGCTTTTTATTTTATTCTTTTTATCTTTGCACCAAAGTAGTAAGGGAAGAAAGCAATCCCCTTTCCAAACCAGAGGCAGTAGATCCACCCACTTTAAACCGCTGCAAAAAATCCCCAAACAAGAAATGAAGGCTGCCGAGGTGCCTCACTATTCTAAGCAGGAAGTAAGAACTGAACGTGTAAGCATCCGGGTGGAGATCACATGACATAAATCTGCCCTCCTTTCCCTCCTAAGGCTGCTCTGCACAGCCCCATGGATGCGTTCTAAGAGGTGAGAGAACGGGAGACAAGGCCGGAAGCAGAGCACTCTGTGCTAGCCGAGACTTGAGGGGTCAGGGGTGGGTGTCCCACCCCTCCAGTCCCACCCCTTCCTGGCACACACATGCGCAGACACATGCGCAGACACATGCCGACTGTTGTGTGGAGCGAGGAGGCAGGTTTCCCACGCTCCAAAGGGCCTCACTCTGCTGCCAAAGGCAAGAGGTCTGCCCTTCTTGAGAGGAGACCCTGGGTTTAACTGTAACATGGTCATCTGAAGCGAGCCCTTCCAGGTGTGTGAAGGAGGAAGTCGTAAAGCCCAGCCTTTGGCACATGCCAGGCTTTGCAGTGCTGGCATAGTTCGACCTGCGCCGAGGTCAAAATAAGCCCTCAGGTAGCTTTGGGCAGAAATCACTGCAGCTACCCTGGAGCGCTTACAGCAGCAGTCTCCTTGTGGCTAAGCTGCAGGGAGAGGCGGTTACGAGGCCAGGTGTACGCTCTGCAAGAAGGAAACGGCCACAAACATGACATTCCCGTAAATTCAGTCTGTTTCAGAACTCATCAAAGGTTGCTTATGAGAAGGAAATGCCCAGAAATTGGTACATCCTAGGTCAGCTTGTCCCCCTCAGCACATATTCCAAGCATGGTGAGTGGCCTCTTTCCCCGGCTGTTGATGTGAGGAGATAAAAGGCAGAAAGTGGCAGCTCATTTTCTCAAGGCCCCCCTGCTGCAGGGGACAGTCCCTCCACTTCCTTGCCAAGGGGAGGATCTTTAAAACTTGAGTAGAAATCAAAAGGGTAACTGAGTTTCCAAGAAGCGAACAGTTAGGCTTGGGGGTAACAGCCTGGCCCTGTGTGCTGGGTGGCGCTCTAGGTACTGCCAGCCTGTCCTCATCTTCAGTGTTCTCAGAAAGGGGGAGGGGGCACAGAGGAAAGAGAAAAAATGTCAAGGCTTGGGGCATAGGGCAGTGGCAGCCATGTCTGATGCACGCGCGCGCGCGCTCACACACACACACACACACACACACACACACACACTTTAGTTTAATATAAACTGAGAAAGTAAGGCAAAAATGTATAAAATAAAGAACTTAATGAAAAGTTTTCAATTTTTTTCATTCTCAACATTACTTAACATAAGAAAAATAAGAACTCTTTGCTAGCCTTTTGGGGTGTTACAAAATGAGTGGTTCAAGGAAGAACAATTATCACTGTTTAGCAGAAGAAATAGAACCTTGGATTTATACAACACAGCTTAGAATTCGGCCACCTCCAATCCAGAGCTGGCCTCAGTGCTCAATTTACAACTGACCCTGGAGTCTTCTTCAGCAGTAGCATCGTCATTTGTCTCTGGAGAGATCTGGATGAAGAGGGAAGTGACTTCCACCTGCAGTCTATAGAGACATTTTAAGAAAACAGTTTCAGGTCTATGTGCCACCTAAGATCTCAGCTGGATACTGAGGGCTGGTCTTGAGAAAACGGTCGGCCACCACTCTTCTCTTCCAATTCTGCAGATGCAAGGTGCCCCCAGCTGCTAAGATACTGGAGTCAGGGCTGCTTCTAAATGAGGTTTTTTAGCTCAGCATCTGTCAGCTCGTTCACCTCCATGATCTTCTCTAAATGCTCCCTGTACCGGCTGTGATCTAGAAGGAAGTGGGGGACTCTCATGTTTTCAGTCACCGCCAGGCCTTTTAAGCGCTCCACATCTTCGTAAGATACCTGGAAAGAAGGAACTGTTTTTACAACTACAAGTTACATGTGGAGGTGAACTTTTTCCTTGGACCTTACATGAAAATAACGTGGCTATGAGGCTCACATCTTTAATGCCAGCACTTGGGAACTTGGAGGCAGAGATAGGTAGATCTCTGTGACTTGGAGACCAACCCAGGCTACATCGTGAGACCCTGTATCAAAACAAAAACCAAAATGAGGACTGTCAAATTAATAGCTGCAAAACACAAAGGCAAACAAAAGTGGTTGTTTACTTTCCTTTACTACATTAAATGAAATATAATTTTTATGCCCTCTCATGGCTAAGCCTAAAAGAGAACAGAAAGTCAGTATCTGACGTCACACCCTATCTTGGAACTGAATCAGTCTGTGTGACTGTCAGGAGGGAGCCTCCTGTTGTTGAGGGCTGACTTTACCTTTTTGGGGCTGCGGAGGACCCAATCTTTGGCCTGAGCATGCTAGGCCCACCCAGCTACATATTCAGGTAGGAGAGATGTTAAGCTCAAATAAATCTATTAAATCCAAATGAAAGACTCAGGATATAGCTGCCATGATCATATCTGAAGAAGGAGCACTCTTACATACTGGCTTCCTGATTCTGTTCATTAAGGTGGCAGATATAATTTGTTAGATTCTCTGGATTTAACTTAAAATTTTTCTAAGCACTTAAAACACAAAATGGTGACTCTCCATGTTGGCTAGAGGTGATTTTCAGGCTTCTGGGTAGGAACTGTGCCCACAGTCTAACTCGGTTGTAGGCTCAGTAATGCGTCCACTGTGGCAGCAGTGGCAGGTCTTAGAGGGATGACCAAATGCTTCTTGGGCAGAAGCTCTCTCCATAGGAACTGTAAACCTGGCCCACGACGTGGCTGAGGAGTCAGCCCTGCTGGGAAGCTACTGCTGCTATGTGGTAAATGAGGTGAGGTGGTGTTCCTACCAACTGACCTCTAAATAACCACGTCTGTGCCCACCGATGAGCGCTGCTCGCAGCCTTGGCTCGCAGCTTCTTTTCGAGGTGGAAGGTGGTTAATGCAGAAACTCATAACTAGTCAGAGTGTCAAGAATTAAGGGACATTTGAATGAGCGGTCACAAATGGACCATCTGCAGCACTCTCTCCCAGACTCAGCAACACCACAGATGGATCAGAAAGAGTGAGATAGTGTGGAATGCTGAGCTGTGGGCAGAGCTCACAGCAGCTGCGATCTGACGCTGAGGGGAGAGCTCATGAGACCCCGCTCTTCCCAGTTAATGCCTGATGGTAAAGCAGACACATTTTGTTCAGAATCGTTGCCACTGACCGGTGTCTATAATCAGCCCTTCACCCACATTCCCATAAGCAACTACAGAGAAATTAAAAACGTGAAGTCGGGAATACTGTCACACACCTTTAATCCCAGCACATGGAAGGTATGTTTAAAAACAACATTGACTCGTTCAATGCCTTTGTCATATATTTCTACATTTATTTATTATTTATTACAATTTTTCACTTTGTATCCCGATGTGGCCTCCTCCCTCATCTCCTCCCAGTCCCACCCTCCCACCCTCATCTCCTCCCATGCCTCTCCCGCCTCGTCCACTGATAGGGAGGTCCTCCTCCCCTTCCCTCTGACCCTAGCCTATCAGGTATCATCAGGACTGGCTGCATTGTCTTCCTCTGTGTCCTGGCAAGGCTGCCCCGCCCCCAGGGGGAGGTGATCAAAGATCTAGCCCCAGCCACTGAGTTCAGGTCAGAGGCAGTCCCTGTTCCCATTATTAGGGAGCACTTGGAGACTGAGCTGCTTATGGGCTACATCTGAGCAGGGCGCCTTTGTCATATTTTGGTACTTTTTCTCACAGTAGTTCAAACCTTTTCATCATTATTAAATTTTGTTAAGGTGATCTGTGCTCAGTGATCTTTGGTGTTACTTATTGTAATTAATTTGAGGGTATCACAGACTGCTCATATTTAATTTGAGGGTATCACAGGCTGCTCCTATCAGATGGTTTCATTGGGATCTTAGTGACATGTGATGTTACTCCCCCATTTTGTTCCCTCTCTTCAGGCTCCCAGATACCCCGAGATGTAACAATACATAGCCAATTAACCACCTTCCAATGGCCTCTGTGGAAAAAACAAAGCCCTCTCCCTTTAAATAAAAGACAAGAAATTAGAAACATAGTAAAAAACCTTCAGAAGGTAAGTAAGAGAAGCTGGAATCCATAGCTCGGTGCCAAACAGCCAAGCCATGAATGCAGAGCATCTCCACTCCTGAAGGAAATGAAGCATGATAGTCCAAGGAGCACAGAAAGGATGTCAAAGCAGAGCAGCCTCACTGTGGGCAGGGAAATGGTTTAGTGGTTTGGATAGGTCAAACCAGCCACAGAAATCCCTTAAACAAGGCCGAATCCAGAAAAAGGCCCTAGAGTCTGTAACTCTGTGATGCTGAGAGAGCTGAGGGAGCGGCAGGAGCCAGGAGCTTAAAGGAGCCACGTCCAGAACACAAAGTGCTGAAGTGAGAACCATTGGCTCACCTCTGTTGAGTTCAAGGCCAGCCAGGTCTATACAGTGAGTCCTGGGCCAACCAGGGCCACATACTGAGACTGTGGCTCAAAAACAAAGTCAGAGCATTATGGACATTAGTAGTGAATGCAGCTGAGTGGAAGCCAATGCTCATTTAATGTCCCAAATCCCTAGCGCCCCTGAGAATGACACTAAAACCTACTCTGCTTGTCCTCAGTAAGTGAAGCAGTAGAGGACGGCAGTGTGTCTGCCTGCAATGTGGCTTCCTAAATATATATGTTTTATTTTTTTTTCACTCTTTAAAGAATGTGCTTAGGTGTTAGCCTACGTGCATGTATGTGAGTACTGCCTTTAAAGATCAGAAGAGGGTTTGGATCCTAATGATTATGAGGCAGCATGTGGGTGCTGGGAATCAAACTGAGGTCCTTTGCCAGAGACAACTCTTAATCATTAACATATCTCCAGTCCCCCAAACACATTTTTAAAAAGATTTACTTTGTATGTGTGTATCTGTGCAGATGTGCATGTATGCCAGGGCCTGCGGAGGCCATACACATGAGTTCGCTAATGCTGGAGTTAGGGTGGTTATGAGCCAAGCCATCCACGGTGCTGAGAACCAAACTCAGGTCCTTTGCAAGAAGAGCAAATGCTCTTAAACCACTGAGTCAGCTCCCCAGGTTCCCTGGTCTCTGGAATAGTTGTAGCCCACTGTTATGACTTGTTACTTAGAGAGAATTCCTTTCAAATGTCAGTGTTCATTGACAAAGTTCCTGGTCACCGCAGTCTTTGATGGCCATACGCAACAAGATTTATACTATATTTTATTTAATGTTATACTGAATTAACAATAATTAAAAAAATTTAGTATGATCTAGCCTGACATGGTGGTGTATGCCTTTAATCCCAACACTCAGGAAGGCAGAGACAGGCAGATCACTGTGCGTTGAGGGCTAGCCTGGTCTACAAAGCGAGTCCAAGACAGCCAAGGCTACACAGAGAAACCCTGTCTCAAAAAAATAAAAAAAAAAGCAAAGAAAAAATAGTACAGTCATGTTAGATCACATACTTGTTCACATGAGAGCTCAAAAAGGCCAAGTCTCCCAGCTATAGTGTCCTTTAAAACACTCTCCGAGAAGCACATTTTAAAGATAGGTGTGATGTGCATTCCCCTAATCCTAACACCTGTCTAAAAAACCGCTTACGGTCCCCTCCAGCAGCAAGCAGCATAGCTTGTTGGAGGCGATCCTGGGATCCATGTGATCCTGGTTCAGAAAACAAGCAAACAAACCCAAGAGCAAACTGAAAAAGATAATTTTAGAAAAAGATGAGCACAGAAATAAAATAAAATTTCCCAAGTGTTCTATTCCTTTGTCTTTGCCTCTCACTGATCACAGAGAAAATTCCCTTCTGCTATGGGCTATCCCATAAAAAGAAACTTGTTCCAACAGCAACAAAGTAAAACAGCCTGGCCTTGAGTGGCTCCCTGCGCTGGGCTTTGGGGGTCTGGCCAGAGTTTACTCACCTTGCCCAGGGCAGTCAGCAGATGAAAGTCTATGGACTCTCGGAATCGAAGGATTTGAAGGATCCCATCCAGGTACACCTGGTCTTTACTGAAGCACCCTGGGGAGACGACAACAATATTTACTTTCTTTCTCTTTAACAGGGTATTTTATTTCTAATGCTGTCCATGTGTGTGTGTGTGTGTGTGTGCGCGCATGCGCGCGCACAAATGTGACACATGCACACACGCACGCACCTGGGCATGGGTACCGGCGCCCCAGTACACACTCGAATTGATGAGCCATCTTTCCAGCCCCAGGTTACCTTCCCATGGTTAAAGAAACACACAATTAGATGCTAGCCATTCTCTTTAGGGTAGCAACCACTCTATTTAAAACATTCTAGAAAGCTGAAGAGATGGCTCAGAGGTTAAAAGCACTGGTTGTTTTCCCAAAGGTCCTGAGTTCAATTCCCAGCAACTACATGGTGGCTCACAACCATCTATAGTGAGATCTGGTGCCCTCTGGTGTGCAGGCACACACGCAGGCAGAATAAGGTATATACTACTCTTAAAAAAAAAAAAAAATTCTAGTATCTATTATTTGAGCCAGGTCTCACTCACCATGTAGCTCTAGCTGTCCTGACACTCACTATGTAGACCAGGCTAGCCTTGAACTCACAGAGATCCACCTGCCTCTGTCTCGTGCTGGGATCAAAGGTGTGTGACACCATGCCTGGCTCTTATTTATTTTTATTCAGTTATCTTCCACAATATAAAATGTATGATCTTGGGAAGTCCTAGGAGAGTGTTGACGATACCGAGACCAGCGCTTTGCCCTTGACTTTCTCTTAATTAAAATGACATCTTCCCCCAAACTAAAGCCTGGTACTTAAAGCCCATGACTTACAAACATTACCCCATCGACACCAAGTGAGCAGGAGTGTCAATCCTTGGTGTGATGGAGGGATTGGAGTGAGGGCTTAACAAGGGCATATGAAGATACGCGAGTTTTAATGTCCTATTTTCTTGTTTGCTTTGTGCTACATAGCAATAGCCCTGCTCTGACTCCTTTATAGAGATTATAACTCTAGACCCTATGGCACACTGCTGTGATCCCAGTCACCTGGGAGGCTGAGATTGAGATTATCCTCGGTGAAATAATATATTGCTTTGGTTGTCTGTCTGTTTGTTTTGAGATGAGGCTTCAGGCTCAGGAAATACCTCAGTCTGTAAAGTGCTTGCTTCTCAAGCATGAGGGCCTGAGTTCAATTTTAAGAACCTACATCCAAAAATCCGTCAACGAAACTGGCTTTTGCTGTGTAGCGTAGGCTGACTTTGAGCTCACATCATTTCCTATCTCAGTTTCCTAAGGAGCAGGATTACAAGTGGGTGCTACCACGCTCAGCTGAAGCTAGAGTTCAATGGTGTAAAACCAGGAAAGCCCAGAGTGATGCACACAGGGAGCCCAGTCAGCCAGGGCTGCCCTGTGAGACCTCGTCTCAGAAACAAACAAAACAAAACAAAACAAAACACTGAGATCGTGGGTACAGAGCTCAGTTGGTACAGTGCTTGCCAGCACGCAGGGAGCCCTGGCCTGGAACCCCAGCACCACACAAATCCAGGATACTGGTGCACAACTGTAATTCTAGAGGTTGGGTAACAGGATCAGAAGTACATGGCGAGTCTGAGGACAGCCTGGACCACCAAACCGTGTCTCAGAAAACAAAACAATAAAAAGCTGCCACGTGTGGTAGCACATGTTTTTAACCCCAGCATTTGGGAGGCTGAGGCAGGGGGATCTCTGAGTTCAAGGTCAGCCTGGTCTACAGAGTGAGTTCCAAAACTGCCAGGGCTACACAGAAAACCAAAAAATAATAATAATAATAAAATAAAATAAAGAGAGAGAGAGAGAGAGAAAGAAAGAAAACAACCAACAGGCACGGGCAGAGGTGAGAGTATTGTGTACTTACCAATCCTAACACTCAGGAGGCAGAGGCAGGCAAAACTCTGTATTTGAGGCCAGCCTGATCCACACTGTGAGTTCCAGAACAGCCAGGGCTACATCATAGAAAGGCCCTGTCTCTCAAACCAACAAACCAACAAACCCAACCTCCTCCTTGACTAAAGACTACACAGGAACTTCTGAGAGGACCCTCCTTACAAGAACAAATTTCTACTTGTCACCCAAACACCTTCTGATAGGGTATAATGCTCACACTGTAACCCCAGCTCTGGGAGGTCACAAATAGGTGCCACACCAGCCAAGCACCTGGCCTGAAACCCTGTCTCAAACAAAACCCACCATCAACATGAAGGAAATCTCATAGCCTGCTTGAGCTTTTAAAAAACAATATGTAAGGGGCTGGAGAGATGGCTCTGTGGTTAAGAGCATTGGCTGTTCTTCCAGAGGACCCAGGTTCAGTTCCCAGCACCCACATGGCAGCTCACAACTGTCTAACTCCAAGATCTGACACCCTCACACAGACATGCATGCAGGCAGAACACCAATGCACGTAAAATAAATTATTTTTTTAAAAAAATATGTAAGTGCACTATATTTTCTATGTAGTCATATATTAGGAATTATTAATTTTATAAGCTATGCTAGTAGCATGGTGATTGGGAACAATACTGTTCCAACTAGAGATACAACGAGATATCCATGACATGATAATGGAGTCAGATTTACATTGTTATAAGGAAAGCAGGAACATGAAGGGCAGATGATTCGGAAGGCAAGTGTCAGTGAACACTAAGCGAGGGTAACATATTAACAAGGGTTCAGCATCTTAAAATTGTCCTTGCTTTATATAAATTTCAAGATGTCTGCTTCTAAAATGGTTTTAGGGCTGGAGTTGTTACTCACAGAAAACCTGGATTTGATTGCCATCACCCCCAGGGAGGCTCATCAGCATCTGTGACTCCAGTTCCAGGGGATCCACCCAAGCCGCTGCACTCCATGGACACCGGGGATGCACAGACATCCATGCAGGCAAAGTATCCATACAGTTAAAAATTAAAAAGCCACGAGGGCTCGAGCGGCCGAGCCAGAAAAGGGACTCAGTGGAAGCAGGAGCCTCAGGTTGATCCCAACACCGGTGTGAAAAGCTGGCTGTGCTCAAGCATGTTGTTTAGAGTCCTAGTGCCGTGAAGGTAGACGGGTAATCTCTGGGGTGCACTGACCCATGAGCCCTAAGTCTGAGTTAGAGACTCAAATCCAAGGTGGTGGAAAGACAAAGTTGGGTACGGTAGCACACTCACTGGTATCCCGGGTGTGGAAGCGAATGCAAGGGGATCAGTCTAAGGCTATTCTTGGTTACATACTGAGTCCAGACCTTGGCTCAAAAAAAAATTTTAAGGGGTTGGGCAGGGCACAGTGCACACAGCTTTAACCCCAGCAAGTATGAGTTCAAGGCAAACACGCTTACAGATGGAGTTCTAGAGCAGCCAGGGCTAAATGACGGAACTTGTTGTGGGGGGGCTGAGGTGGCTCAATGGGCTCATGGGCTTACTATGCAAGCCTGGCTACCTGAGTTCCATCCCTGATACCCATGAGGGAAAGCTGGGTGAAACAGCGTGTGTCTGCAACACGGGCCTACTGAGAAACTTGGGGAGCCGGCCAGCCTAGGGCAGGGAGTGCAGGGACAGGAGAGATCCTGCCTCAGGGTGGAAGGAGAGAAGTGACCCTCAAAAGCTCTTCTGTACTCTCCACATTGATGCCGCGGCACGAGCATGCCATACACACAGACACACACAAAATAAAAATCACCCTCCTTCAAATAAAAACAGTGCCACAAAGGTGTGTGGCACTTTGGCAAGGGTACTGGATCTGACCTCTGTCTTCACGAGCGTGCGCGCGCACACGCACTAGCATGTGCAGTTGTCTCCCTCTCCGTGAACGTGCTCCCTCTCCACCAAAAACCTCAGACAGAAGGCTAGCCATGAAGAACACTTGCCGAGTTCTGTAGCCCCGGCATGGGTAGGTAGCTGGCGCTGTCAAAGACAACACGAAACTGGAAAGACAGCCCACAAAATGGTAAAAATATTTGTAAATCATAGCTCTCCCAAGAGATCTGTGTCCCACAGAAAGACCTCTTGTGATTAATTTAAAAAAAAAATAATCCGATTAAAATGGGCAAAAACTAAGCAGATAGTTGTCTATAAAAAAATCAAAAAGATCAACTGCACACATTAAATGATGCCTAACATCATAGTCATGAGGTAAACGCAAGTCAAAGCTACAGTAACATACCTTTCACACCCACCAGAATGTAGTAACAATTGCTGGTTTGAAAAGTCAAAATCGCAAATGTTGGCAGAGGCGTGGAGAGGAACATTAAACCCTGCAGTGAGCCCGTGTGGTCACTGGCGATGCCCCCAGAGCTCAATGTATTCACTGTGTTCCTTGACGGTTCTAATCTAAGCAGGGCAAGGTGGCTTGTGCTTGTACTGCCAGCACTCAGGAGGCTGAGGTAGGAGAATTTCTGTGTTCCGGGCCAGACTGAGCTACAAAGTGAGACTCAGTTCCAAGCTCGGGCTAAGATATGTTGCCCTTGTAGGTACAGAGCAGGTGTGATGAAAACACAGCTGCACATGAGCTAGTACAGACACTCACGGCAGCATCACTCCAGAGCGCCTAAAATGCAAACTCATGGGCTGTCTGCCAACTGGAAAAGGATAAAGAATTATTTCAGAAGGAATACATTGTAAAAAATTTTAAAAAATAACCAAAACCGAATAAATTATAAAAAACAAAAAATTAACCAACCAAACAAAAAAAGAATTATTTCAGGGATAGCATGAATCTCAACACATCCTGCTAGGGCCAGATGTGGTTCCCATGACACTGGTCCCCGCGCCCAGAGGCAGAAGCAGGCAGATCTCTGAGTTTGAAACCACCACAGTCTACAGAGTGAGTTCCAGGACATCGAGGGCTACACAGTGAGATACACCAAAACTGAAAAATAAGTCCTACTAATTTGACGACACCAGTCACAATGGGTCATAGATTAGACAATTCTATGCATATGAAATGTTTAAAACAGGCAAATCTAGAGAAACAAAAAGAAAAACCACTGAAAACATTTCCTGAAAGCAGAGGTAAGGAGATATAGGGAATGAATTCTAATGGACATGTGTTTCTTAGGGGTGGAGCTTGAGAAAGGAATGTTCAGAAATTAGAGGTGATAACTGCGCGGCTCGACAGACTGAAGACAATGAAGTTTACACGTTCAATGGGTGAACTAATTGTAAGGTACGTGTCATCCCACATATCTCAATAAAGCTGTTTTTAAAAAGTCAGAGAGAGGGGCTGGAGAGGTGGCTCGGTGGTTGAGAGCGCTTACCACTCTTCCGAAGGACCTAGGTTGGGTTTCCATTCCCACATGAGGTAGCTCAAATCTGCCTGTAACCCAAGTTTCCAGGGGTTCTGATGCCCTCTGGCCGCTGAGGGCACCAGGCACACATCTGGTGCACATAAACTCATGAAGGCACACTCACATGCACACAAGTCAAAACAAACAAATCTTAGAAAATGGAAAGAAAGGGCAAAAAATTAGCAACCACTTAGTGACTGGTTGATCCAGAAGGCTGGACGTGTGTTCATTCTATTTAGTTACAAGAGCTTTTATATTTACTTTTTTAGTGTGTGTGTGGATGTGCATGTGTGTATACATATGTGTATGTGTGCACTACAGTGAACAAGTAGAAGGGGTCAGAGGGCAGCTTGCAGGAGCCACATTTTTCCTTCCACTATGTGAGTCTCAGGGATCAAATTCAGGTTCTCAGGGTTGGTACAAGCATCTATTACCTGCTAGGCCGTCTCACTAGCCCTCTCTGCCTTTCTAAGTCAGGATCTCACCAGGTAGCTGACTAACCTCAAACTTGTTATCCTCCTGCCCCAGCCTACTGGATGCTGGGATTACAGGTGTACATCACCATGACTAGCTCATTCTATTATTCTTTCCAGAGTCTATTGGTCTGAAATGTTTCAAGGGATGTGAGCAAAATAATACTGTGTGTTATGGAGCTACACAGCAAAACCCTGCTTACAGGAAATAAGTGAGGACGTCAAATCACAAAGCTTTGGTTTATCAGATTCAGGGATTGAAACATGACCAGCATCACCAGCTAACAACTAGCCAAAAAGTCAGGAAACCTACCACTGAGGGACACCTACCTGGCTGGGAAGTATCTGTCAACCCTCTCTTGGCTCTTACACAATAATCCCATCTTGTATTAGGATCCTTGACAAACTTGCCAATATCTTTGAAGAGTTCACAGAAAGACATTTGGCTAGCTTGATAGACTGTGTAGTAGAGCAGAGCAGCCCTCCACAAAAAAGGGTCTTTTCTGAACAGGACACTATGAATGCTTGCCAGTCCTTCCTCCGTAGGATTGTTCGGCTTTAACTCATGTTTTTTGCGGCCAAGCCAATTGTTCCATGGCTGCTGAAGGTTATTCATACCCCGAAAGTAATGTGTGCCTGCAGAGGAGAAACACGTGAGTGATAAGAAACGACACTGTTGCTTTCATTCTTCCCCAAAGAAAATTGCACTTAGGCCTGTGAGATTCTTCCTCGGAGTCCTGAGAGCTGAAGACTTGTACCCAGCTTGGTGCTCCTGGGAGGTGGTCGGACCTTTAAGGTGTAAGGTCTAGTGAAGGTGTGGAGAAGGGGACTGTGAGACCCTTCCCTCTTGGATTTTTGCTTTCTTGGCCATGTCCAGTGACCACATAATCCCACCATGACATGCTGCCTTACCATGCTCAAAGGCAGCAATGTCAGCCCAGAGGGAGCTGAAGCCTATAAACTCAGGAGCAAAAATAAACATTTAGTTTTTAAGTTCATTGTCTTGAGCTACATGAAACCCTGTCTCAGAAAACAAACAAAACCAACCAACTAAACAACCAAACAAACAAAAAGGTCTTTCATGATTCCTTTCCCAGCTAGTGTTGTACTTGGGAGCTGAGGGGAGATCACACAACAAAGATCCAGATGACATCTTTTAGTGTTGCTGGTTAGAGTTAGTGAACTCACTGGGAGGAATCTCATACTGTGATTCTAGGCACCCAACAGCATCCCTGAGAGCAGATCCTGGGCTCATCATTCTAGAGTCCGGCCTTGAAGGCCAAAGAGAACAAGCCCCTTGGAGCAATAGAGGGACAATAATGCCCTTTGTCCTGCCTCCCCTGGTTCTCCGCTTAGGGCTTGCAATGTTCAGCTTTGTAATAACTAAGGCCTGCTCCTGATGTGACTAATCTTTACTTGGACAGCTCCAGTTTCATGACTCCCAGACTCCTTTGTTGTCTTTATCCCACAGACACACCTCTATCCAAGTTCAAGTCAATAATTCCAAAGGAACCATGGGTGTACTTTTATGTCTCTCAGATAGCTCCACTGGAGGGGTGCTCCAAATGCCTTACCAAAGGCCACATCTAGCATGAAGAAGCCAGATTCTGTCATTAGCCCACCTCTCCTGAAAGTAGTTAGGGTTACCTCTTCAGAAAAGGGAAATGATGAGAACCAGAGATAAAAACATGGCAGAACTTTAAGGATGGGTCCTCAATTTGTGTCCCTGACCATAAGCTGAAAATGATCTCAGTCCTGTCCTGACTGGAGGCCAGAAAGGGCAGAAGGGAGCTCTGGTTTCCTGTCTCAGCCTAAAATGAGGATGTTCAATGAGGGAGGGCTGAAGCTCCTTGTCCAGACATCAGTCCCTCCTGGTGAGCAACTTTGGACAGGGTCCCTAGACTTTAATGGTAGAGGGTGTCTTTGTCAGGGTTTTATTGCTGGGAAGACACACTATGAGTATGGCAATTCTTATAAAGGAAAACATTTGAACCTGGCTTACAGTTCAGAGGTTTAGTCCATTATTCTCATGGCAAGAAACATGGTGGTGTGCAGGCAGACGTGGTGCTGGAAAAGTAGCTGAGGGTTCTACATCTGGATCCACAGGCAGTGGGAAGGGAATGCCATACCAGGCATGGCTGGAGCTCCTGAGACCTCAAAGGCCAACCCCTAGTTGCATACCTACTCCAGCAAAGCCGCAGCTACTCTAACAAGGCCACACCTTCCAATGGCGCCAGTCTACTGCCAAGCACTCAAACACAGGAGTCAAGGAGGGCCATGCCTATTCACACCACCACACTCCCGAACAGGACTGCAGCCATGACATAATGCAGAGAGGCGTCCAGTCCGCCTGCACAAGTCCCCATAGTCTATTAACAGTTTCAAACTTGTTTAAAAGTCCAAAGTTCAAAAATCTCTTCTGAGACTCATGTAATCTCTTAAATGTAATCCCCTGTAATATCAAAATCAAAACAGATCACATACTTCTAACACATAATGGCACAGGATATACATTACCATTCCAAAGGAGAGGAAAGGAAACATAAAGAAGAAACACTGGACCAAAACAAGACCAAAAACCAGATGAGAAAACTTCAATCTCTGCGTCTCCATGTGTGATGTTAAAATGCTCTTCAGATCTCCAACTATTTTAGCTTTGTTGACTGCAACACGCTTCTTTCTCTTGGCTGGGTCCAGGCCCTGTTAGCAGCTTTCCTCAGCAGGTATCCCAAGGGTTTGGCATCTCTAACTCTTGGATTCTCCAAGGCAGTCCAGGCTTCACCATAGAGCTTCACACAATGGCCTTTCTGGACCTCCATGCAGGGACGCCCCTGACACATGCCTGGTCTCAGCATCTTTCCTTAGTCATGGATGGAGAATCTATAACCCCCTTCTTGTATCATTGGCTCTAAAGCCAGAACTACACGGCTGAAGCTGCCAAGTTCTGCTGCTTGTTGGGGCTTCAATATGGCTCCTTGTTCAATTACATTTTCACCAGCTTTCTGTTTTCCATGTTTCCTTCTCTACCTAAGCATGGCTGTCCTGCAACTCAATCTTTAGACCAGGATAGCCTCAAACTCAAAAGATGCACCTACCTCTGCCTCTGGAATGCTGGGATTAAGGGCGTGTACCACCACATCTGAACCTAAACTTTAATTCCTTCTTATAAATTGGAAGCTTAGCTGGCTGGGGGTGTTGCCCTGAAGTTACCACTCCCTTTATTCCATTTAACATCAGGCTTTCCTTTAATTTATATCTCACCTGGAACAAAGGGTTAGCTCCATTCCACTTCATGGTGCCCTTTTCTCCTTGAACTGTACGCTTTGTATCTTTTCTTGCTCAGATTGCTCCTTTTCATTATGCATCTTCACAAACATGAACTCTAATATGACATGACTAGGCTGTTTCCTAGTATTTCCTAGAAATTTCCTTTGCCAACACAATGAATCCAAAACTCTTCACTTTAGCCTCAGGCAGACTTTTCAGACAAGGGTAGCAAGGAGCCACACTCTTAGCCAAAATATCACCAGAATGGTCTCTAGGCCACTTACTAATATTCTTCTCCTTTGAATCCTCTTGAGCTGGACCCCCATAGTTCAAATCACCCTAGCACCCCTGTCTTCCATGTTCCTACTAGCATGTCCCATTTAAAGCATACAACTACTTTTTTAACCTGAAGTCCCAAAGTTCACATTCCTTCAATCAAAAGCATGGTCAGTCCTATCACAACAAAACCCCACTCCTGGTACCAACTTCTGTCTTAGTTAGGGTTTTATTGCTATGAAAAGACTTCATAACCACAGCAATTCATATAAAAGAAAAGAGTTGATTGGGGTAGGCTTACGATTTCAGAGGGTTTGTCCATTATTCTCATGGGAGGAAGCATGGCAGCACGCAGGCAGACATGGTGCTGGAGAAGGAGCTGAGGGTTCTACATCTGAGTCTACAGGCAGTAGGAAGAAAATGCCACACTGGGTGTGGCTGCAGCTTCTGAGACCTCAAAGCCCACCTCTAGAGACGCACTACCTACTCCAACCAGGTCACACCTGCTAGGAGTGCCACTGCCTTTGGCCAAGCACTCAAACACATGAATCGGTGGAGGCCATTCCCAGTCAAGCCACCACAAACGAGCTACACGTCTGTTCCCTAATTATAGCCCTCAAGGATTTCAGCCTCTATCAGAGGATCGGATGTTACACTAGCGATATAAAGCTATTTCTCTTGGTCAAGAGAATGGAATATATCTTTGGCCCTAGGTGGAGATCTAACATTTCAAGCTACCCAAAACATTGGAGTTAATCTAATCGGGCCAGCCAATTACTCGGCTAAGGGACCACCTCACAGCAAAATGGATTCACCTGAAGCCATGCTGAAGAGATAGAGGAAATAAATATCCCTTTAATGAGATAATATACTTTTCCTTCGCAGAAAACGAACCTCCAGCACAGTGGCTTGTGGAGCAGCAGCCATGGAATGTGTTAATCCTGCCTACTTTTCTGAATCTTTAATCAGAAAAGGGTAACTTTCTCTTTTCCTTCTGTATCTTTTCTAAGCATGTACCCCTCGATTTCATATGGGGAACTAAAACCCAAAGGACTGAAACGACTTCCTAAGGCAGTGTTCTGAAATTCTAATTTGCAATGTCACACAGTTCAAGTTAATCCCAACTACCTCTTGCGTTTTCACGAAATATTACTAAGAAACAAACACTGGGGAAGAGTACCTTTTTAGGGAGTGATTATTGGTAGCAAAGTGGTAAGCAGGTTGCCCCTACCTATCTCGTGCCTCAGCATTCCCTCCAGCCAGTGCTCTCGTGCAGTGGAAATATTGATGGACAGAGTCGGGCATCCGTTTACTACGGTCATGGACGCCCTGGAAAGCAGGTCTCCAGTGAGATGGACTACAATCTAGAGAGGAAAGACAACATGCAGCAGTGGTGAGGTGACAGTGGGTAAGGGTGCTACACCACGTGCTGACCCAAGCGCTTCAAAACCAAGATGCTAGAAGGAGAAGCAACCTCCAAAGGCTGCTCCCTGTCCCCCGCCACCACATACACCATACACCGCGGCAGGCATGTTCCCACAGACATACAAATATGTATCAATGTGTATATATATATGCATGTACATATATACATGTAGGGTTTTTGTTTGTTTTTCGAGACAGGGTTTCTCTGTGCAGCCTTGGCTATCCTGGACCTGCTTTGTAGACCAGGCTGGCCTACAAAGATCTGCCTGGCTCTGCCTCCCTGAGTGCTGGGATTACAGGTGTGCACCACCATGCCCAGACATAAACATATAATTATATAACACAAACACATGAAACACTCTTGAACACATATACAAAATGTAAAGGGAGAGGGGAGAAAGGTTTTTACAAAAAATAGCAGGCCTATACATTATCTAAACTAAGGTGATGAAATGTACACCCAGTTACATTTGAACCTTCTAATTTGTTTTGTTTTTGAACCTTATACTTTTAACCCTCTGAGAATTTATTTATTTATTATGTATAGTGTTCTGCCTGCATTACACCTGCAGGCCAGAACAGGGCACCAGATCTCATTATAGATGGTTATGAGCCAAAATGTGGTTGTTGGGAATTGAACTCAGGACCTCTGAAAGAGCAGCCCATGCTCTTAACTGCTGAGCCATCTCTCCAGACATTCTCTTGAGAATTTAAAAAGCTTCATTGGATTGAAAGGAAAGTGAAGGAGGCCAATTAACAGTAGCACACACCTTTAACCCCAGCATTTAGGAGGCAGAGGAGGATCTCTGTGGTCTATATAGCAAGTTTTAGGACAATTAGGACTGAAAAAAAGAGACCATCCTAAAAGAAAGAACAGGAGGAGGGGAAGGAGAAGGAGAGAAAGAAAGGTATAGTAAGGAAGAAAGAAAGAAGAAAACAAAGTAGATGGCTGTGCTGAGGAAGACAGAAGAAAAGGGTATACCAGAGAGTGGGGAAACCAAGCCAAGAGTAACAAGGTCAAGGCTGAAGAGAGAATCCCGGCCAGCCTGTCTCAGGCTGTCTCAAGGAAAAAGTAAGAGGAGGAGACAGAGCTTCAAGGTAGAGCCCAAAGCCTTGTGTTCAATTCTCAGTACTTTTAAAAAAGGGGCAGGGGAAGTGGCAAGACAGCTTAGTGGGCAAAGGTTTCAGGCTTTCAGGCTTTCAGGCTTTCAGCTTTCATGTTGGCAACTCAAATTTGAATCCCAGAACCAACACAGGACTGGAAAAAAACAGCTTGTGTGTGTGTGTGTGTGTGTGTGTGTGTGTGTGTGTGTGTGTGTGT